CATATAAAGTATTTTTTTAATTTACAGCATTTTGCTACTTTCAGCTAGAATTTTATTTTAGCTGCAATTTCAACTACTTTTTCTTCTCACTGTTAGCTACTTTTAGCTGTTAGCTGTTATTTTTTTTGTATTTGGCTAACATTTTCATAATTTTGCTATTTCTACTTCTAGTTAGTGTTTTATTTATATTTCTGGCTAGCCTTTTGCTGCTTTTAGTGAGACTTATTACTGTAGCTTCTAGCTATCCTTTTGCAATTTAAAAATTGTATTAGCTTTTTGCTACTTTAGCTGGAAATATAACAGCCGTGGTCTGACTTTGCCATGTGTTTCTGTTGTTCCAGGTGTCCCTGGTGGTGAACGTGGCCAGCGAGTGCGGCTTCACAGACGAGCACTACCGGGAGCTGCAGCAGCTGCAGCGCGACTTCGGCCCGTATCACTTCAACGTGCTCGCCTTCCCCTGCAACCAGTTCGGCCAGCAGGAGCCCGGCAGCGACAAGGAGATCGACAGCTTCGTGCGCCGGGTCTACGGCGTCTCCTTCCCGCTCTTCAGCAAGATCGCCGTCGTCGGAACCGGAGCCAACAATGTCTACAAATACCTCTCTGGTGAGCCGGGTGGGATTCTGGGTCAAAACATCCAACTATGGTCACTTATAACGAGGTCACTTATAACGAGGTCACTTATAATGAGGTCATTTACAGCTAGGTCATTTATAACGAGGTCATTTATAACGAGGTCATTTACAACGAGGTCATTTACAGTGAGGTCATTTATAACGAGGTCATTTACAGCAAGGTCATTTACAACGAGGTCATTTACAACAAGGTCTTTTACAACAAGGTCATTTATAACGAGGTCCGTTATAACGAGGTCAGTTAGGTCATTTATAACGAGGTCATTTAAACGAGGCCATTTATAACTAGGTCAATTACAACGAGGTCATTTACAACAAGGTCAGATATATCAAGGTCATTTACAATGAGTTCATTTACAACGAGGTCATTTATAACAAGGTCAGATATAACGAGGTCATTTACAACGAGGTCACTTATAACGAGGTCACTTACAACGAGGTCTTTTACAACAAGGTCATTTATAACGAGGTCCGTTATAACGAGGTCAGTTAGGTCATTTATAACGAGGTCATTTATAACGAGGTCATTTATAACGAGGCCATTTATAACGAGGTCATTTATAACTAGGTCAATTACAACGAGGTCATTTACAACAAGGTCAGATATATCAAGGTCATTTACAATGAGTTCATTTACAACGAGGTCATTTATAACAAGGTCAGATATAACGAGGTCATTTACAACGAGGTCACTTATAACAAGGTCACTTACAACGAGGTCTTTTACAACAAGGTCATTTATAACGAGGTCCGTTATAACGAGGTCAGTTAGGTCATTTATAACGAGGCCATTTATAACGAGGTCATTTATAACGAGGTCAATTACAACGAGGTCATTTACAATGAGGTCATTTACAACGAGGCCTTTCACAACAAGGTCATTTATAACGAGGTCCGTTATAACGAGGTCAGTTATAACGAGGTCAGTTAGGTCATTTACAATGAGGTCATTTATAATGAGGTCATTTAAAACAAGGCCATTTATAACGAGGTCATTTATAACGAGGCCATTTATAACGAGGTCATTTATAACGAGGTCAATTACAACGAGGTCATTTACAGCGAAGTCATTTACAACGAGGTCTTTCACAACAAAGTCATTTATAACGAGGTCAGTTAGATCATTTACAATGAGGTCATTTATAATGAGGTGATTTATAACAAGGCCATTTATAACGAGGTAATTTATAACGAGGTCATTTATAACGAGGTCATTTATAACGAGGCCATTTATAACGAGGTCAGTTACAATGAGTTCATTTACATCGAGGTCACTTATAACAAGGTCAAAAATAACGAGGTCATTTACAACGAGGTCATTTATAACGAAGTCAGTTATAACGAGGCCATTTATAACGAGGTCATTTATAACGAGGCCATTTATAACGAGGTCAGTTACAATGAGTTCATTTACATCGAGGTCACTTATAACAAGGTCAAAAATAACGAGGTCATTTACAACGAGGTCATTTATAACGAAGTCAGTTATAACGAGGCCATTTATAACGAGGTCATTTATAACGAGGCCATTTATAACGAGGTCAATTACAACGAGGTCTTTCACAACAAAGTCATTTATAACGAGGTCCGTTATAACGAGGTCAGTTATAACGAGGTCAGTTATAACGAGGTCAGTTATAACGAGGTCAGTTATAACGAGGTCATTTACAACGAGGTCAGTTACAACGAGGTCAGCTATAACGAGGTCATTTATAACGAGGTCCATTATAACGAGGTCATTTACAATTAGGTCAATTATAACAAGGTCATTTATAACGAGGTCAATTATAACGAGGTCATTTACAATGACGTCATTTATAACAAGGTCAGTTTCAATGAGTTCATTTACAATGAGGTCATTTATAACAAGGTGAGTTTTAACCAGGTCATATATAACGAGGTTATTTATAACGAGGTCATTTATAACGAGGTCATTTATAACGAGGTCATTTACAACGAGGTCATTTACAACGAGGTCATTTATAACGACGTCAGTTATAACGAGGTCATTTACAGTGAGGTCATTTATAACGAGGTCATTTACAACGAGGTCATTTATAACAAGGTCATTTACAACGAGGTCATTTACAACGAGGTTATTTATAATGACGTCAGTTATAACGAGGTCATTTACAATGAGGTCATTTATAACGAGGTCATTTACAATGAGGTCATTTATAACGAGGTCATTTACAATGAGGTCATTTATAACGAGGTCATTTACAACGAGGTCATTTACAATGAGGTCATTTATAACGAGGTCATTTACAACGAGGTCATTTACAATGAGGTCATTTATAACGAGGTCATTTATAATTAGGTCATTTACAACGAGGTCATTTACAACGAGGTCTTTTATAATGAGGTCAGTTATAACGAGGTCATTTACAATGAGGTAAATTATAACGAGGTCAGTTATAACGAGGTCATTTATAACGAGGTCAGTTACAATGAGTTCATTTACAATGAGGTCATTTATAACAAGGTGAGTTATAACCAGGTCATTTACAACAAGGTCATTTATAACGAAGTCATTTACAAAGAGGTCATTTATAACGACGTCAGTTATAACGAGGTCATTTACAATGAGGTCATTTATAACGAGGTCAGTTATAACGACGTCAGTTATAACGACGTCATTTACAACAAGGTCATTTATAACGAGGTCATTTACAACGAGGTCATTTATAANTTATAACGAGGTCATTTACAACGAGGTCATTTATAACGACGTCAGTTATAACGACGTCATTTACAATGAGGTCATTTATAACGAGGTCATTCATAACCAGGTCATTTACAACCAGGTCAGTTATAATGAGTTCATTTATAACAAGGTCATTTATAACGAGGTCATTCATAATGTGTTATCAGGAACAGAACATCTTTAAAAAGCAGATTTAGCTTAAAGATATGAAAAATCTCATCTATGATCTTAAAGTAAAGTTTAACACAAATCAGTTTAGAGCAAAAACATRGGGTTTGTTTAACGATGTAAATTTAACGAGTCAATTTGTTCAGTTTCAGTGACGTTTTGAAAGCAACCTCAGTGTTTATAACTCAAGATGCCGGAGTTCAGTCACTTTGTGCTTTTGTAACTGTTTTCTAACTACAGCGTGGTCTACAACTTGTAGGGAAGCCATGTTTGTAGTTTTTATGCCCAGGTTGGATTCGAGGAGCAACAACGGGGAGATCTTCTGTCTCAGCTGCATCTTTATGTTCAATACTAAAAATTTATAAGATTTATTAAAGATTACCTGAGCTAAACTCAGGAGTGTGTTTACATCTCGTCTTTGTGTTTTTGTGGTTTGTATTTAAAAAGAAAAACGGCCCAAACTCAAAAATAAAGGAAATACATCACACATCACAGCTGTTAGCCTACATTTGATCCAGCTTTGAATTCATTTGAAACGTGAGGAAAAAAGATTTTTGTTTCCCATTTTATCTTTTTTTTTCCAATAAATGAAAAGAAAAGAAGTAAATCGAAAAGAATTAAAGAAGAAAAGTAAAGAAAAACGTTAAAAAAGTTCCATTTGTCCATTTCAGGACAGTCTTCATCTTATCTGTCCATCCATCATGAGTTTCTGTCCCGTTTCTCGCAGAGGCGTCCGGGAAGGAGCCCGACTGGAATTTCTGGAAGTACCTCGTGGACGTGAACGGGAAGGTGCTCGATGCCTGGGGGCCCAAAGTGTCCGTCAAAGAGATCCGACCAAAAATCGCCGACATGGTGCGACAGATGATCGTAAAGAAGAAAGACGAGCTTTAAAACCAGACTTTTTATATAAAAGTGTTAAAATCACCAAACAAAATAAAAGTTTTTTGTTTTTTAAAAGCACTGATGCAACACGGCTTCTGATGTTTGAAACATTTAAAGCTGCAGTTTTTATATCTTTTTATATCAGCTGGTTTGTAGAATTAATTTTGACTGTGATCACTTTTCTCTGAGTTCATTAAACCATTTAAAGTTTTATCTTATGTTGTGATCATTTAAACTCATTTCATTTCCTGCTGCTTTAAAAATAAATAAGGCTGAACTTTTAGCATTTATAGAAAGTTAAAGAAACACGAACAAACCTGTGTGATTCCAACAATCACAGCGTCTCAGATGACATTTATTGGGAGGTGACTTCTCCAAAACTATATTTTCTAACAGCGTGCAGCTGTGATGGGTTGTGTACAAGCTAATAGTGTGTCAGAATGGTATATATTTATACTTCTCATCCAAACACAATTAAATTCWCTCTATAGGAGACACAGTTTATCAGGAGAGGATTTTTAACTAATAACTCAGAATAAAACAGGAGTAACGACTTTCTACTTCTTACCTTTTTAAAAAATGTAGTGAGTAGAAAGTACAGATAATTGTGTAAAAATGTAARGAGTAAAAGTAAAAAGTACGCTGAAAAATAATTACTCAAGTAAAGTACAGATAACCAAAGATTCTACTTGAGTACAGTAACAAAGTATTTGTATTTAGTTACATTACAACTCTGGTTCGGATTACTTTTCAAAATAAAGCACACGTCTCATGTCATATCCTCCACTCTTCACAATTATTTTCAAACTAAAAGCTCAAGTGACGTCGCATATCATAACCCCTTCTTTGTTCGGATTACTTTTCAAAATAAAAGCTCARATTGCACATCATAACTTCTCCTTTGTTTGGATTATTTTCAAAATAAAAGCTCACATCGTCGTTTAACATAACCTCTCCTTTTCTCGGATTATTACTTTTCAAAATAAAGCTCACGTCGCATGTTGTAACCTCTCTTTTTTTTGAAAAGCTCACATCACACATAACCTCTCCTTTTCTCAGATTATTACTTTTCAAAGTAAAAGCTCACATGACGTCAAATCCCCTACACTTCACAATTACTTTTCAAAATAAAAGCTCACGTGACGTCGCATATCATAACCCCTTTGTTCGGATTACTTTTCAAAATAAAAGCTTACATCACATATAATATCTCATTCCTCAGGTTACTTTTCAAAATAAAATCTCACATTGCATATCATAACTTCTCCTTTGTTTGGATAATTTTCAAAACAAAAGCTCACATTGTCTCTTATCATAACCTCTCCTTTTTTCGGATCATTACTTTTCACAATAAAGCTCACGTCTCACGTTAACCTCTCCTTTTTTTGATTACTTTTCAAAATAAAAGCTCTGTTACTTTTAGTGGCATTTCGAGTTATCATGACAACGTAAATCGCAAAAAACTACTGTCAAAATCCCTCATAGGAAAACACTGAGTCATGAGCTTGTTTGGAAAATATTTATTAGCAAACAACTTTTTCCCTAAAGCCACAATTTTCATGATACACAGACAAATTTATCAAAACGTAGACATTTTTGTCTTCTTTCAGTTGGTTTCTGTTTTTGCTGCAGGACAGTTTTCTCGTCAGACATCAGGGAAGTAACACTTCACTCCCTGTTTTTCGACATGTAAAATTTTTGTCACTTTTTGTTCACAAGCAAAACAATTTTAAGTCGTCATGTCTCTGAGATAAAGCGCTGTGCTAATTTGAAAATTTCCACCTCTTTGTCGCTCACAGTTCAAGAAGTACATGCATGTCACAGGAACTTTAAGCTAACCGCTAATGCTAATTTAAAAAAAGGCTCAGCCATTTTAAAGCTCACAGAGCTGAAAACTGGTAGAGTAGTAGTAGCCAAGAACAAGTTTTGACAAATTCTGAATGCTAAATAAAAATCCAAGATGGCCACCATAGCTAAAATGGYAAATTYACCGTAACTCAGTCATTTTCAGACATYTTTGGCTCAAATTTGAGATGGTAGCAGATCACAGTGACCTCCAACAAACAGTAAATTCAAATCTTTACTTAAATTGGACAGCACTCGGCAAACCCTTACAAAGTTTCTCCATCACTGGTGATTTGGTCTTTAGCTGCTGAGATGATTCAGAAACTCTTCTACGTCCCGACTCACGGGCTGACGGTTCTCCTGTCCGATCCTCTGCAGCCTCCTGATGCTGTCCTCGCGGTAAACCGACCCGTGTTGTATGGCTGCGGCCCTCATGTAGTACATCACCGCCTGGTCGCTGTGTTTTTGACCGTACTGTAAAAACTTGGCGTAGTAACTGTAAACCATCTGCTCTCCCTCAGGATCCAGATCGCTCTTCAGCAGCTCCTGGAAGATCTCCTCGGCCGCGGCTCGCCGGTTCGATTTGGCGTAAATGTTTGCCAGAGATATGAGCATTCTGAGGGAGGAGCCGGGGTACAGGGCGATGACCTCCTGGTGCAGGCTGATGGCTCGCTCCATCAGGCTGCCCTCCAGGTGCTTGTTGCTCAGGGAGAAGACTTTCCTCTTGTAGCAGATGGCGGCACATCTCTTTATGTACCGAGCGTCCGGATGTCTCTCCAMAGCCTCCTCTGCTAAATGAATGGCCTCGTCCATGGAAACGTGGGTCCTGTAGAGCCGGAGCAGAGGTTTGAAGCCGCTGTAGCTGCTCATCGGTTTCCTTAAAACCTTCCTCGCCAACTCTTGAGCGTCCTTCTGGATCTTCGCTCCCCTCTGAGCTCGAGCTTCCAAGTAAACGGCGGCGAGGTACAGGTTCCCCGGGTCGTGCTCTTTGGCGATTTTCATTTTCTCCAAGACGTCGGCGTCCATGTTTCCTTTGTGCTGCGAGACGGCGTTCGCCAACGCCAACACTCGGCTGGTTTGCCACTCCACCATGTCTGGCTGCATCCTGATGGCCTTCTGGAAGAAATCTGCAGCCAGGAGCTTTTTGTTCCCACCGAACTTCATCAGAGTCCAGGCCTTTTCAGCGCAGATTTCCGGATGGGGCTCGTCCAGGGAGGGAGACGGGTACTCGCTCATCAGGGCGTCGACCTTCCGCAGGTATTCCTGACTCTGTGCTTGTTCCCCCAGGAGGTGGTGCAGCCAAGACAGGTTCCCGTAGTTCACCACCAGCCAGGGGCCCTCGTCCGACACAGTGTTCCTCAGCTGCCGGAGCGCCTCTGCGGCCCGGCAGAAGAAGCGCCGGGCCTGGTCCGCGGAGCCCAGCTGGCAGTGGAGGAAGCCCTGCAGGTTGTAGATGTGACCCAGCCAGCTGTAGCCCTCCTCTGAGCCGATGTCCTCCAGCTCGTCCCGGAGACAGAGCAGCCTGGACCTGCTGCCGTCCAGGTCCCAGGTGAAGTGGCACTCCAGAGTCTCCAGTCTGGACTCCAGCGTGGACGGACTCCGAGAGGTGCTGGTGGACAACACAAATGTTTAAAATCACAGAAACTGAAATGGAGAGAGGTTTGTGTTTGAATAATCGATAATYCGAGAAGTATGGGGCGTCAAGCGTAAATGTCAAAAAGCTTTACTAACATTTTTCTTTATTTAGCTCGCTGTTCTTACATTTAGCTCATTTTTACTAAATGTTAACTTTGAATGTTAATTTTTTTTTAAATATTAAATCCTAAATCGAAGTTCATATTTATGTGTTTTGGAATGGAACGCAGCCTTTGCTGTTGGTGCTCGGCTCATGTTATGATGTCATCATCCTGAGACAATAGCTACAGCTAGCTTCAACGCAGCTAAAGCTTCCCTACAAGACATCAAACCTGCAGTTCTGGCTGGAGTCTGAGCTGCACTTCAAACTGCTGGACCACAGGGACCACCCATATTGTTTTTATCAACACATTTTGAATTTAGATTTTAAAATATTACCCTCAGCAGAGTTAGCAGCGTTAGCAGAAGTTAGCATCAGATAACCAGGATGATGTCATCATCCTGCAACAAACATTAACAATGGCCGCTGCTAGCCTCCGAAGCTTTAGCTCAGTGAGGTATATATCACCTCATATACCCATATTTAGCTGCACTGGAGCTAGCAGTTGCCATCGTCTCAGGATGATGACATCATAACATGAGCCGAGCACCAACAGCAGCGGCTGTGTTCCATTCCAAAGTAGCTAAATGTGGAACTCAACATTTAACTTCAACATCTACAGTTTAACTTTTACATTTAGATTGAAATATTTAGATTAAGGTTTTAATAGTTAATAATATATTTTTAACAGTTAAATTTAACATGTAGAATAAATTAGCTAAATGTAAGAACAGTGAGCTAAATAACAAAATGTTAATGGAAAATTTTTAACACTCAAAACGTGAGCTAAATAATGAAAAATATGTAAGTGACGTTTTTTAACATTTCCTTTTACTCTTGGCCTCCTCGTTGTGTCAGAGAAGAATCATTCAATAAAATAAAAGCGAGTCAGTCTGTAAACTCACCTCATCGTTCAGCTGCAGACCTCCGAACACCTCTGGGTTCTGATCTGCTTCTGGAGGCGAGGCGCCGTAAAATCTCGTCACGTTTGACCTCTGAGCTGCTGTAAATGACGTCATCCTGAGCTCCAGGTTTGGACTCTTTCCACGTGTTTACTGCTCTGAAACATCGATTCACTCTGCTTCTTGTTTTAGCAGAACGACTGTTATTGAACTGAGGTTAGAGGTCATGAAATAAGCCAGGTTAAAGGTTAAAGATCAGGAGAAGCTGTCAAAGTTTGTGTCTTATCAAATGTTAACTTTAGGTGAAATCAATTTAATCTTTTTTTAAGATCATTAACTCTCACTGGATCACCTGCATCGTCATGTTTCTTTGCTACCTTTTGAATTTTAAACCACACTTTGATCAGTTTTAACTTATCTTTTCACTCACTTGACAGTTAAGATCAGGTGTCCAGGTTAAGCCAAAGTAAAATCATGTTTAATTTAATGTTACATACAGTAAAAATGAACAGTTTAATGCAGGAAGGTCTTTATTTTCTCCACAGTGTCATTGCTCAGAAATGTTTCTGCTTTGTCCGTTAAAGCAGGGGGTCTGGGGACCCCTTTCAAGGGTGAAAAATATCCGGGGYCCCCCCCCCCCCATAAACCACATGCTGTTGATGCAAAAATAATTTACTTTTATTTTAACCCCTAAATGCCATGGTAATATTATTTTTAATTTGGTTCAGCATGTTTGATTTACTAGTGCATTACTCCCCATATGCATTTTAAAAAATATAAACCAAATTAACAGTTTATTGAAATTCTTTGAGGACCCCCAAGACACGGCTGGTGGACACCAGCTTGAGAACCTCTGCTTTAAAGTACCTGTGACATTCATTTTCTGTAATGCAGTTTTGGAAAGATAATGTTGATAAAATATTGCAAAAGAAAATTCACGCCGCTGAGATGAACGGTTGTTGAGATATTTGCATGTGAGGTAACAGGAAGTGATGTCAAAGGGGAATGTCTGCATGTAAACAGGGCGTTACTAAAATGGCTGACGAACCAGACAGCTGAGAAGAATTTGATGTTTTTTTAGGTTAGTTTGAGTGCCTATCAGAGAGATGAGTCAGAGCTCAGATATTGTTTTTGTAAACAAACATACTTCATTTTCTTAAAGAGTTCCTCTTTGATGTCACTTCCTGTTTCACTTTGAGACAAATTCTAAAGAAAATATGCCAGTTATGTGACAAAAGAGGTACAATCATGTGTAATACACCGTTTTTTTTAAATCTAAAGATGTTTTCCTTGACTTTTTGTGTTTGAAGGATAATCATGTCAAAGGAACTTTAAGAAGGCGAAGATCTCTTGGAGTAACATCCTGAAACAGCCAAAGAGTCTGAGGGAAGCTGGAAACCTGTTCCAAGAAACTTAACAAGAGGAGAAATTCATGTTAAAACAACAACAGATGAATTAAAATCTCTAAATAACCAGTCCTTTTGTTGCTAACAGGAAGCTAATCTGTATCTTTGCTCCTCCTCCTCCTCCTCATTAGAGCAGATTGCTGCAGATTATCACCCGGCCGTGTGTTCCTCTCCAACACTCTCCTCCGACCCCTCGCCCGTTTGCTGACCGAGGACCACCATGGGCCTGCTGAACGTCCTGACCTCCATCAAGGACCGAGCCGACAAGTTCCTCAACGAGAAGAACGTGGTCACGGACTTCCTGGGGAAGCTGGAGGAGAAGACGGGGATCAAGAAGAAGGTCCTCGCCGTGGGTACGTTGGGTTTATATTTCTGTTGTGGGATCTTCTCAGTTCATGTGAAATTACATTTAAAAATAAAAGTTCTAGATGCTTCTCTAGAGGTCCATTTTAGATGCAACAGGTTGGTGCTGAACTGCTGCGGGAGTGTGGAAAGTGGATTTAGTTAATCCTCCTGTGAACAGATGCTGTGGTTCTGTTTGTGCTTATGCTCAGTGGAACATGTTGGGTTATTACTGCAGTCAGAGGTGGGCAGCAATAATCGAAAAATTAGTTGCACAACCCTAAAGCACTAACTTTAATATTTAGGTTTTTTTAGGAAAAGATTACTAAAAATCAAGCCTGACTCAGCATAATTGCTGTTTTACAGCAGGTTCCTGTTCTGCAGCACATAAAACACTCAGAATTACAGCATCACAATCACATCATTATACACCATAGACACAAAGACAAACAAGCATACCAAATTTCAGGAAGGCAGCATTTGCAAAATAGGACGTCTAAATATGAGCAGAACAAAAAGTGTCCAGCAGATGGCAGACAAGATTCTTCTTAAAGGGCTGTAGTTTTGAAATGGACTTTGTTTTGAGGAATGTCATTCCATGCTTTAGTATAAACATAGAAGAAAGACCTCTGGCCGTAACAGTTTTTAAAAGTTGGTAATATCAGTTGTCCTTTTGTAACAGATCTAGTTGAATGACCACTTCCAGAATTTGATTTGGGCAGCAATGCACAGAGAGTTCCATAACTGCCACCTTGGAAGATCTGAAAATATAAATTAATACCACTATACAAAACATAATTCTAAACGTCAAGGCAGGTTCTCTAATTCTAAAGCACTAACACACTAAAAAATTAGCAAAAGCTAATTCTAAAGCACTAAAATCCCAGCTGACCCATGGTCTTCAGAGTCAACATGAGACGATATTTTCTGTGTGCAGATTATTGCTAATATTTCATCTGGTGTAGTGGTTCCCAAACTTGAGGTCCAGACCTCTTTGTGGGCCACAAAACATCAAGTGAGGGTCCCCAGATGAATTCTTGACATCAATTTAAATGCAAAAAAATGCTAATGGAATATTTATTATTCCATTATTGCATTTTTTTCAAATAATCATAAATGAATAAATATTAGTATCATAGTTACTAGGTTTGTTTATAGTTACTATTCCCGTGATAACAGAGTTATTAAAGTTTGCAACATAAACATTTAATACATGGGGTCAGGTTTGTCTGCAACTGGTATTTTGRGGGTCGGAAGCAAAAACGTTTGAAAACCACTGATKTAGTGAAGTGACACATCTGACAATTTTCACCCTCAGCTGTTCACAATAATGCTGATCAATAACTTTTAAAGAACTAAATTAGTGCTTATAAATTTAGCCCATAACTTTAGCAAGTGCTAATCCACTAATAAATTAAGAAATTAGCAAAAACCCCAAAGCACTAATCAGAAAATTAGTTCCCCTAATAGTGCTTTAGGGGAACTGTTCCCACCACTGACTACAGTTTATTCTCTGCTACAATAAAAACACGCTTCAGTTATTTGACATCTGGAACGGTTTAGGACTTGGCGTTACGCAACCTCAACTTTGGAAACCAGTCTAGACCAGTGGTTCACAAAGTTTGGGTCGGGACCCACAGTGGGGTCCTGAAACATCAAGCTGGGGTCATGAAAATATTTTCTGAATTAATTACACTAAAAAATGACAACAACATTTTTTGTCTTTGTTGTTACAAAATAATAAGGTTAGTGTATAAACGGGCAAAAATAATGTAATAAATAATGTTACGATGCTCTTATATATTTGACGTGAAAACAATGTTTATCAACCAACAACAGCTGGGGGCACAGGGTCTGTGCTGCTGGTATTTTGTGGGTTCCCAAACATTTCAGCTTTTGTTTTCATGTCAAATAAACAAGAGCATAGTAACATTATTTATTACATTATTTTTGTCCATTTTAAGTACACTAATCTTATTATTTTGTAACAACAAAGGCAAAAAAAATGTCATTTTTTTAGTGTAATTAATTCAGAAAATTGATGTTTCAGGACCCCACTGTGGGTCCCGACCCCAAATTTGGGAACTACTGGTCTAGACTATAAACCCGAGAGGTCAGTCTTGAAGAGAATCTCGAARTGAATCCAACAAATGGCCCATTTTTATAGGTCTGGTTAGAGAAGCAGCAGGTTCAGGAGGAAAACCTGGACCTTCCTGACTCCAGCTCCTCCTGGGGAATCCCAGAAAGGATATACTGTATGTATAATCTCTGAGGGTCTCCTCTTATTGGGACATGACCCAAAACCCTCCAGAGGGAGGCATCCTAATCAGATACCTGSACCACTTCAGCTGACTCCTCTGGGAGTTCAGACCATGATCAGACCAGCTTCTTGGATCCAGGATCTCTTCTTTTAGTCCCGATCCACACCTCACGAGCGCAGGTGAGGGTTGGAACAAAGATGGACCTTTAAATGTTTCGTCTTTGGGTTCAGCTCCTCCATCATGACAGAACTGAGCAACAACGAGGTGAGGCGAGGTTCAGATCTGTCAGTCCATGCCTCGTCCCCCGATCCAGAGGGTCTAAACCAGCTGACTAAAAGCCACGGCTTGTTGGACTCGTGTGTGGTGAAGCTTTGCATTCAGATTTAGGGTCGGGGACCGCYCCCCCTGGTCTAGTTCCAGACGAGTGTCCCCCTCTGTGGATCAGCTCTGTAGGTCTTTATGAACTCYGTCCTCCTGGGAGCCGTGTGAGCAGAGAGACGTGGATCAGCAGGACATGATGTCAGCCTGGTGCCTGGCACTCGCTGTCTCCGAGCCGTCAGAGCAGAGCCCGGCAGCAGAGCAGGCAGCCTCCATGACTGAGCAGCAGAAGCTGATCAGAGGTAGGACGSGGTTTTCACTGCTTCCTGTTGGTTTCCTTCAAAATGTCCAACAGAAAGAGTTGCTTTTATTTAATAGCTGGGATTTAACTTAAACCTCCAGGTGAGTCTGTTAGTTTATAATCTGTGTCAGAGTCCTGATGTCTCCGTCCTGTGTGTCCCCGTCCAGGTGCTGTCTCACTGACTGGACTCTACCTGGTGTACGGTTATGGTGCTGCGCTCCTCTGCAATCTGATTGGCTTCGTCTACCCGGCTTATTATTCGTGAGTTTTGGGTTTTGTTTTGAGCCATTTCTCATTTGGCCAAAACTTCTGAGTCTGAAGACCCCGTTTTAGACAACTTATTAAAAGTTTTTTTTAGTCTAAATTAGTAATAACAGTAATATATTGGATGATTTTTTTTTTATAATTACATTAGGTACACACATAAAATAYGCTTCCAGATGATTTTTTTAAATTCCATCTTCAACATAGAGGTCTTTAAAATGTTCATAAGTTTTCTAAAACATAATGTGACAGGGCCTTGAACCACGGAGTGGTGGGCGATCATGTAAATGTAATGATGGGGTGGTCATTGGCTGGTCTGACTCTGGACCCAAAGGTGCAGGCTGCCACAAACTGTGACACCCCTGTGGCTTAARGGCATTTTAACAAAATAAATCAGGAACCAGAGTTCAGGTTTTAATAGAACTCCCAGAAAGTTGTTGAAAGTGCATCTCATTAAACTTTAGAGTCCGCCCAATTGAAGATGTCCTCTCCAGCTTTCTGCCTTGGCAGAAAGAGGAAATGACTGTAACCCAGTCTGTCTGCCCAGTCCTGGACCAGTCCTGGACCAGTCCTGGCAGAAAGGTTGTCTGAGACTTTCAATCCTTCTGGTCTCCTGCAGAATCAAAGCCATTGAAAGTCCTTGCAAAGAAGACGACACCAAATGGCTGACCTACTGGGTGGTGTACGGCGTCTTCAGCCTGGGCGAGTTCTTCTCCGACATTTTCCTCTACTGGTTCCCATTTTACTACGCCTTCAAGGTGAGAACTCAMCTCTGAGCCAAACAAGCTGAAACAAACTAAACAAACTCATTTTTGGTCTCATACATGCAGTTTTACCAAATTTACCAAAGGTCAGATTTCTGTATGTTGACAAAACGTTCTTGTTTTTCTGTACGGTCGTAGTGTCTGTTCCTGCTGTGGTGCATGGCCCCTGTGTCGTGGAACGGCTCCCAGATTCTTTACAACAAGGTGGTTCGACCTGTTTTCCTCCGCCATGAAGCGGCGGTGGACAACATGGTCAGTGACCTCAGCGGGAAGGCCATGAGCGCTGCTGAGAACCTTACCAGAGAAGGTAGAACCGGTTCAACGCCGGGAGAAAAACGCTTTCTCTTCTGTCGTCAGAGATTTACTCTCCTTATCTTCTCTGCTCCTGATTCCTCAGTCCTGTCCACATTGGTGAAAAATAAAACTCTGATGAAACCAGGACCAGTTTCTCAGACCGAGACTAYGAGTTTACCAAGTTCATCTGCAAAACCATCCACAGCTCCGGCTGCTCCAACACCACCAGGCAAAGACGAACAAAGAGTGAGTAAAACACACGATTACCTCTCCTAACATTCTGTCCATCATTGACCTGTCTGTCCATCTTAGACACGCCTGTCCATCGTAGACCTGTCTGTCCATTGTGGACCAGTCTGTTCGTTACAGACCAGTCAGTTCATTATAGACCTGTCTGTCCACCATAGACCAGTCTGTTCATTGTAGACCAGTCAGTTCATTATAGGCCAGTCTGTCCACCATAGACCAGTCTGTTCATTGTAGACCAGTTTGAACATCATTGACTTGTCTGTCCACCTTAGACATGCCTGTCCATCGTAGACCTGTCTGTCCATTGTGGACCAGTCTGTTCATTACAGACCAGTCTGTCCATTGTGGACCAGTCTGTTCATCATAGACCTATCTGTCCACCATAGACCAGTCTGTTCATTATAGGCCAGTCTGTCCACCATAGACCAGTCTGTTCATTGTAGACCAGTTTGAACATCATTGACCTGTCTGTCCACCTTAGACACGCCTGTCCATCGTAGACCTGTCTGTCCATTGTGGACCAGTCTGTCCATTGTGGACCAGTCTGTCCATTGTGGACCAGTCTGTTCATTACAGACCAGTCTGTCCATTGTGGACCAGTCTGTTCATCATAGACCTGTCTGCCCACCATAGACCAGTCTGTCCGCCTTGGACCAGGCTGTCCACCTTAGACCAGGCTGTCCACCTTAGATCAGTCTGTTCATTGTAGACCAGTCTGAACATCATAGACCAGTCTGTCCACCTTAGACCAGTCTGTCCATCATAGATCACATTATCCACCATTGATCATGCTTTCCACCTGAGACAAGTCTCTCCACCATAGACCAGTTTGTTCCTTATAGACCAGTTTGTCCACCTTAGATCAGTCTGTTCATTGTAGACCAGTCTGAACATCATAGACCAGTCTGTCCACCTTAGACCAGTCTGTCCATTATAGGCCAGTCTGTCCACCATAGACCAGTCTGTTCATTGTAGACCAGTTTGAACATCATTGACCTGTCTGTCCACCTTAGACACACCTGTCCATTGTAGACCTGTCTGTCCATTGTGGACCAGTCTGTTCATCATAGACCTGTCTGTCCACCATAGACCAGTCTGTTCATTATAGGCCAGCCTGTCCACCTTAGACCAGGCTGTCCATCATAGATCACATTATCCACCATTGATCATGCTTTCCACCTGAGACAAGTCTCTCCACCATAGACCAGTCTGTTCCGTATAGACCAGTCTGTCCACCTTAGATCAGTCTGTCTATCATAGACTTGTCCATTCATTTTAGACCAGTTTATTGTGTTGCAGTTGAAGTCATATAAAGTAAATCATATCATTAAATATTCCAGATATTCATGATTCCTTTCAGAAGAKAATATTTTTCTCTGCTTCCCCAAAATAGTAACTTTTATTCTAATAAATCTGTAGACATTAATCCTGTTTTTTTTTGTTCCAGCCTTTCCTGGGGTAATGTTCGGTAAGTCAGCTTAATTGTGTTTCAAAATGTAGCAAATTATCAAAAATAAAGTAAATGTGATGAAACTGTCTGAATGATTCTATTTGTTGTTTTTGACTGTCTAAAAAATCTTATTGGGTCTTACTGTTTATCAGATTTAACTTTAAAGTTTAAAAACAGAGGACTGAGTACTCAGCCGTGCGGAACGCCTCTAAATATTGATTTTAATGTTGAATTTGGTCTCATCTTGAGCTCCTTGTGTATTAATTTATTGTAAAATAAAGTTTTTTGTTGAAACAGTGTATTATACAACAAACATGCTACTTTGAACTGTCTGTTTTACTGATTAAACCATTAAATAACTCATGGCTATCATTTGTATTTTTCAGGCTCTCTGATGGCAGCAGACGAAGAAGAGGAGAAMATTTTTTTCCTCAGGAAGTGCTTCTTATATCTTTGTAGTACTGTAGTACAGAACATCGTGAATAACTGTCTTTTATGTTAGTTTTTTTTATTCATGGTTTAAAAATCACRTATTTATTTGTTTTTAAAACTGAATCTTCAGATTTGCTGGTTTTTCACATCTCCAGCCAATAACTGATGTGGAAGCTGTTGTTTTAACGGCAAGCTGGATGTTTTCACGACTTAAAAATGTGATGTTACGTTTTATATAAGTTCCCAAATAAATAACATGTCAATTCACCAGATTAAAGTGAACCAAATCTCTCAAAAACAAAATAAGTTCATGTTTATTTCTGTTTTTCTTTTCTGATTTTCTGCCCTAATAAGTGTTTTCTGATAGGACTCATTTATGCCGATTAGACAGACAAATGACATTTGTACACACAGTCACTAGCAATTACATGATTGATACATGATATATGATGACGAAAATAATGATGAAACCTACAGTATGAAGATAACACAAATATGGTAATTCAATTTAAAGGAATATGGCCATAAAGTAAAAGTCAATTGTAATATCAAGTTAAAAAGTCTCTCTCTCTCTCAATTAAAAATAAAAGGAGCATATTGTGAAAAGTTTATGTAAGGTGAAATCTAAAACAAAATATTTTAACTGTAGTTTATAAAGTCCCAGCTACAAATAAAATTTTGTGCTTTATTTACATTTATACTTTTTGTTTCAGAATGCAGAAAACTATAATTACTTCCTCCTCGCCAGCAGGTGGCGGTAACGCACCGTGGCGAACCAACAGTCACGTGGCGTGTTACGTAGAGACGTTCGGATTTTCATTGAAGGGGTTCATGTTTGTTAACTTGTGTTCATATTTTTTTCTAAATCTGGTCATTTTCTATGAATTGGCTCGGTTTCAACTGCAGCTGACGGCTTAAAAAAGACCTGAGATTCACRGGAGAGTTTCAAAGTAAAAAGAAGTTTGGTAAGTCCAGAAGAAAAGCTGGAAGTTGCTGTTCGAACTGTTGCGCCGAATTTGGTTCAATGCTTGCTGAATTAAGCTAAGACATCGATTATCAGTAAATCTGATATACTCWTTAACTTTAATAGTATTGTACAGTAGTATCTACGTTATTCTGAATAATTCGGCTCAGAAATTTTCCACCTGGCTCTAATGATTTGTTCATTTTACATCGATTTAACTGTTAGATGTTTACTGGAAAATTAATGAAAAACACTCAGATTTAGCATTTTTTTCCCCTAGTTTGTCATGTTAAATGAATATTATTAATAATAAGATTGTACACATCTAGATAAAAACAATGATAGCAAAATGTATTAACAGAAAACCACCGCATATTACAAGTGATTGTTAATGATCATTGAAGTTGAATTAACTCACCTGGTGTCCACTTCCTGTTTACCTGTTACAGATGTTGGAGGTGGAGCTGTCTGCAGCACAATGAATCTTGGTTCTAAAAGTAAAAAACGGGTGGTTCTGCCCAGCCGCCCTGAACTCCCTGCAGTGGACCAGATCCTGGAGGACCTCAGCAAAGCTGCTCCAGATGACCCAGTCTTCAGCATCCTGGAGGAAACTGGACACGGTGGGCCACACAAACACTCCACCCTCAAACATCCAGGACCTTTAAACTGGTCCACTGACCCCCCACGTGTCTCTCTGCTGTCCAGAGTCGTCCTCCCCTGCAGACAGCGAGGTGGAGCGCCGCTTCCAGCAGTGTCGTCGGTACCTGGAGCTGAACGAGCAGCTGCAGGAGGCTCAGGGTCGACTGCTGCAGCAGAGAGAGGAGCTGCAGGCGGCGGGGCAGCAGCTGGACAGGAAGGTGGACGAGGTCAAAGGTCAACTCCTCTGATTCAGGACGCTTAGACTGAACTCTGGTTTAAATCGTGGCAGGCTCGTCCAGGTGGCAGGTGTRTTAGTTGACCTTCGACCTCAGCCGAACTCTGCTCCTGGGTCCCTGAAATGAGCCGTTCATCACGTCGGTTTCAAAATAAAAGCTSCAGGAAGTGTTGGTGATTTCAAAGGAAAAGTATGAACCTAAAGAGCGATTCGCCTGTCTGTGAGACGGGGTGTAGTTGGAGCAAGTCAGACAAAAAATGTACAAGAAATGGAAAGTTAAAGAAAAGATATTTAAATATTTAAAAAATGTTTACTAAATGCAAAATTATGTTTTGTTCCTGGTTTTAGTTCTACTATAAAAAAAAACGTGTTAAAGTTCAGCTTTACGTCACGTTTCCTTATAGTTGCCACCTTTTCGAGCAGTGGTTCTCAAATTTAGGGTCGGGACCCACACTGAATTAATTACACTAAAAAAATGACTTTTTTTGCCTTTGTACAAAATAAGGTTAGTGTACTTAAAATGGACCAAACTAATGTAATAAATATTGTTACTATGCTCTTGTTTAACATGAAAACGTTTATCAACCGACAACAGCTGGGGCTCAGGTCTCTGCTGATATTTTGTGGGTCACAGCTGAAAAGTTTAGGAACCACTTCTATATATTTTCAGTTCCCTTTCAGCTGATTTCACCAGTGTTTGGAGAAGACGTGGCGCCATCTGCTGGTCAACTCTGTTTAATCCACTCTGCTCTTTTCTATAACAAAAGAAAACCTTGTATTTTACAGCTCATTTTGAACATTTAGAAACAACACAACAGGTCTTTTTGAATAAAACGAATGAATAAAATAAAACCATGGCTCGTTTATTGTTTCGAAGGAAGCAACGCAGCAGTTTAAGGAATCACTTCACTCTTTATTGGAATGAAATTAATAATTTTGACACTTCAGTGTTTTGCTTGTTTGTCTCCGGAGAACAAGCCGGTCAGGACAAAGTGACTCTCCACTTTAAATCTGCTTTTTAAATGTCAAACAGCTGTTGTTTCTATAAATATGTGTTGGTGTTTGTTTGAAAATGATTTTTTTTTTTTTAGTTTGACTTCGCTCGACAGTGAAAAGGCAGATTTATGAAGTTGTCACCTTCAGATTCAGAGATTAAAAATAAAAATCCATTCACTCGTGTGTGAGCTGGGCTTTCTTCTACGCATGCTCAGGAACTAAAACAGGTTCTAATGGTTCCAGTCACCTCTGCAGACACYCTTTGAAAACAAGGATGGTGGAAACTACAGAGAATATTCATAGTCTTTATAGAGTCTTCACCTATCAGTACTTTTACAGCAACACAGTTTAAGCAGATATTAACACGTTGTACAGATTTACTGAGGGAAACTCCCAGGAGGACGTCGCCAACCGAAGCCTCGAGGCGCCAAAAGCGGGACAAAATTAAGACGTAGAGCTGTCGACGTGGATTAACTGGTTGAGAATCAACAGTTTTATGGCAACGGTTAAATATTTTGCATCTAGAACTATTAGGGTGATAATTAACAGATTTTAAATTATAACAAAGACTCAAAATGCAACATTCTACCTGCAGGATCAGTAATTAGTAGCTATTTTTGGACACAAATGGTCACAGGTCTGCAGATGTTTCCTTCATCTACAAATAAAACCCATCCAGTCTTAATTACCGTCCATTCTTTCAGCGCCACAAAGCCTCGAATCACTGACGCCTCGTTTCTCGACACGCTCGGTTAAAATAAAGAAAACGAATCAAATGTTCTGATGTTCTCTCAGGAAGTGAGGTGGGCTTTGGAAAAGGTTTTCACCCCTGAATTAACGTCCGTGRCGTTGTTCTGCACCAACGATGCTCACAAAGTGGGTAAAAGTATTCAGCATGCTGTTGTGTGTATTTACAACACTGATGGTTACAGAGAAGGTGAAGGTACTCGGAGTTACTGACAGGAACGGGTACTCAGAGTTACTGACAGGAACAGGTACTCGGAGTTACTGACAGGAACGGGTACTCAGAGTTACTGACAGGAACGGGTACTCAGAGTTACTGACAGGAACGTGTACTCAGAGTTACTGACAGGAACGCGTACTCAGAGTTACTGACAGGAACGGGTACTCAGAGTTACTGACAGGAACGGGTACTCAGAGTTACTGACAGGAACGGGTACTCAGAGTTACTGACAGGAACGGGTATTCAGAGTTACCGACAGGAACGGGTACTCAGAGTTACCGACAGGAACAGGTACTCTGAGTTACCGACAGGAACAGGTACTCAGTTACCGACAGGAACAGGTACTCAGTTACCGACAGGAACAGGTACTCAGTTACCGACAGGAACAGGTACTCAGTTACCGACAGGAACAGGTACTCAGTTACTGACAGGAACAGGTACTCGGAGTTACTGACAGGAACAGGTACTCAGTTACTGACAGGAACAGGTACTCGGAGTTACTGACAGGAACAAGTACTCAGTTACTGACAGGAACAGGTACTCGGAGTTACTGACAGGAACAGGTACTCAGTTACTGACAGGAACAGGTACTCTGAGTTACTGACAGGAACAGGTACTCGGAGTTACTGACAGGAACAGGTACCCGGAGTTACTGACAGGAACAGGTACTCAGAGTTACTGACAGGAACAGGTACTCAGAGTTACTGACAGGAACAGGTACTC